TCTCTCTCTCTCTCTCTCTCTCTTCCACTTCATCTTCCTGTTTCCTATTCTGTTGTTTCTGCTGTCCGGTGTGCAGTAGTGTTTCCGTTCTTCTGAATACAACCAACCTAAGGCGTTATTGAGAGCGTCTTCGACGTGTTCACTCCTTTCTCCAGTGGGTGGTTGACTAGCATCTTAAAGTGATATTTCCGCGGAGCACATGAATTGTAGCCTTCAATCCACACTTTCTAAGGACCAGATGCCGCACGAGTCAGGCCAACCAGCAGGTCAGGTTAGAGTTGAAGGAGCGGTCCGCGATGACCTATGAAAATGCAAAAGGTTGTGTGGGAGGTTAGCGCGGTCCGCGGTGGACAACCTTGTGCCAGTTTTGCGGCGGAAAGTTGTAAGGTAAAGGAGTTATGACGCAAAGTTGCCTCAGTGACACCCCTTTTTCCAGTGACTCCGCCTCCAGACTCCGCCTTCAAAGCCCGCCTTCCAGCCAAAAGCGATGCTACCGCACAAGTAGCATGAAAGGAAGATGCCATAGTCTCTTGCGGAGTCACACGGCCTATTAGCAAGGGTGAACCTACCGGATGCGATTCAATACGCGGTCTTCCAGGTTTTACCTGTACCACTATCTAGGACTGGAGTGGTCGTATTAGGGGCGTTTCCGACGTTCCCTTTGGCATTTTCTCTTTACAGACGAGTCACTTGACAAGTTGTCTTCCTTATTTCAACACCACTGAATAAGCTCCTCATCGCGGACCGTGCCTTAAAGGCAGTTGGCACGATGGTTTCCTACTTAGCCTAAAATGCTAGTAGGGCGCTGTATAGTGGGGAAATGGCGAAAGAACGGAGTGAAACGGTCAAAATCCTGCGAAGAAAAAGCCTCCGTTCTCAGTGACTTGTAAATCGATTTCGGACGAGTTTCCCGTAGGCATCTTACCAATCACCGCTACCGAAGATACGGCTGCATATGTGTACCCATGTATGCATGCAGCATCAGCCGCTTCATACCAATCCATATACCAATACCAGTTCATACCAATCCTTCATAATTTGCTTAGCAAATGAATGAATACGAGCGTCAGGAACGGTCGTCCATTTGTGGGCGGGCGGGCGTGGCGGGCGTTTGGGACGTAAAGTTGTGGCTTGATAGGGCCCTTATAAGGGCACCTTCCTCGGGGAAACCGCTATGCAGCGCCTGCCCAGGGTCGCGGAATTCTATCCTGCCAGGAGTATTGATCCTAGTCGTCTTGGGGGATTTATCGTGCCAACTGCCTTTAAGCATTACGCTGCGATTAGGACAACGCATTTAAGTTCCCTACAAATCAAGTCGAAGAACAATATCCGAACTGGCTGAACACCGTCAACGGTCGACGACTGGGGACGCTGCTCGCTAGAAAGGGAATCGAAGATTATATTCCAGACACCTCATGATATTGCGATATTGGATCGCTGCGGCTTTTGACTGGATCCCTCGGGATGTCAAGTGAACACCGGGGAGGAAGCACGATCGACAGATTTCTTTGTGCGAGCTCTTGATGAAAACTGCATCGACCCATAGCAGATTTCAAAGCAGACATTGCTGGTGCCTGCTCGAGGAGTTCCGTTATCAAATGAAAATCGGAGCGTAGTGGCATGCCTGTGGGATGGAGTGGAACGGATTCCAAAACGAATAGAATGGAACGGAACCAAGAACAAAAGAACTTATGCAGCCAGGCTCATTCGCAAAGGACATCGACGAACGCTTGAATGGAGATGAGATGGTTATTTTTGTGATTTATTTAGTAGTGCGCAAAGTACACACATGGTTATCAATCGCTATAACGTAAGCTACTAAATGGCACTGACGCCTGATTCAGTAAATGTTCAACAAACCGCAACAGGACTACGACAAGATCTGTTGTGATCATTGAAACACCCTCTAAACACGATTTCTTTGAAGTTTTTCCTGCTCGAAAAATAGAGTTATGGTAGCGCAGGTCACTCCTGCTTTCAGTTAGAGCATGGTGGGGGATGTCTGCAGTGAACTGGACTTGTGCAAATTAGGAGCTAATATGCTCATTCTGCACCCAGTACATTTTTAGGCTGATGGAAACTGGTGTATGGGACAAGACAATCGCAATTCGTCGCGCAGATGGGCCTCACGTGCAACTGCACCTGTAAATGGCGACGTTTTTAGGTCGCAGATAGCGACAATAGGCATATACAGTCAAAATGGGCATAAATGTCTAGGATGTCGTAGTCACATGAAATTTGGTGCTCCAATGGACATGCATTGTAATTAAAAAAGGCTGTGCGCACCAAAAGCGGCACGATTGTCTTGACCGTCTTCCTGGGTAAGGGCTGCTGACGCTATCACAATACCCGTTTTTTGGATTCCCTTCTTCGACTAACATGATTAGATTTGCAAGTATAGTATGTGGGCCTAAACACAGGACTAGACTCCATTACAAAGACGAAAGCAGTTGTTAGCCAACCGTAGGAGGAAATAGGATTCATTAGGACAGAGCTAGCCTAACGTCTCGTCCTGCGCTCCATATTTCTGAGGGCTCAAGCTAGAACCAGAAAGGGAAAGTGTGGAGCAAAGCTGTTTAACTATTGACTCTACTGTCTTTCCGGAGCTTCTTAAAAGTTTACAGAGTGTTTGGTGGATTTTTTTGAGTGAACAGCCTTCGTTAGTTGCTGTGCCGTTAATAGAAGAATAAGGATACTAATAAGAAAATCTCCTTTTCAGAAAGCGAAGGATAGTCGGATTTTCGTCCGTGTCAGTTTTCGCTATAGGGAGAGGTAAAAAAGAGTACCCATGCATATAGTAAGATTCAGTTACGTTCAGAAAACTCAACTAAGAAGAAAATTACAACAAAAAATTACTTGGATCTGTAGGTAGGTAAATTTTCAAGAACGATTTTTTAGAAAGGTCAAGAGAACTAAGACATATGAAAAATGGAAAAAATTACCTTGAACATGTTGGTGAGGGATTTACACATCAGTTGAGCAGCTTCATGTTTACTGCAGAGATTACTCATTGCTCGGATGTATTCTTGCAGCTTCAAGTTCAACTGAAATGAAAGCTGCTTTTTTTTCAGTGAAAATAAATGGTCATTCAATGTAGTTGTACAGCCGATGTATGTGGGCAAAGCTACGAGGAGTGTTCAATGTATTTTCGGTACAGGTATGAAGGAAGAAGCAGAAAATTCTGAGTAAAATTTATTTTTCAATGTAGTCTCCTTCTTTTTTGTTCGGGAAAATAACTTTTCAGTACCCTCTAAAAACATTTTCCCTACTCGTCCCAAAATGTGCGTTAATTGCCGCCGTCAGTTCTCCATTGTCAGAAGAACCCTTTCCAGTTTTCTAGGTTGGGGAGCACGAAGTGATCACTAATCAATTCAATTAAATTCAATCAATCAATTCAATCTATTTTCTCAATTTTCTTTTCATTTTTGTCAATTTTTTTTTTGATCACTGTTCATTTTCTCAACATTGTCGCATCAGTCATTCTGGTCTTCTTTCACCAAGGATAACTAGAATACTGATGATAACTAAATGAAATTTTGTATTTATACCCTCAGGGAGTGTCGTTACCTATTGAAATTATTCAAATGCTTTCGTCACTACTGAATACCCGATACCGAGAATACTTTGAAGGGCCCTCGTACGACGCTGCCTACCACTGGCCATGTGAATTGAACACCACAGTTATGTAGATCTTTCATCACGTGTGAAGGACTGTACTGGTCGCTAGGAACAACGCCGTACAGTAATCAGAACTATTTGTTCCTTTTTTACAGCAGCGAAGAATGTCATGATGGTAAAGCAGTATAAGCTTACATTTGTGCAGGCTTCTTCGTCATCATCGTGTTCAAGAAACTTCTCGCTCAAGTACGTTCCAGCGGACAATGTCATCTCACCGATTTTTTCCTGGAAAGAGAAGTAAATATGTGCACTGGGGTCTCAAATACTCTCGGATTTCTGGAATCACTGAGAATATCATGTACTAGTAATTCTGTGATGCCGGTCTCGCGCCAGTAAATAATGCCTTCAACACCTCCTTCATTTTGTACCAGAGTCAATGTGCGAACTTGCCCGGTAGGTTATTTGCTATATGGATTACGATCATAGCATTTAATCTTGTCAAACTGGTGCCGACATACCAGAAGAGGGACTTCTTGGGGGAGAGGGAGGGGAGGAGGAAGGGCTGTGCTCTGTAAAACCTCCCCCCCCAACGACAGCGTCCAGGTGGAGTCCTCTTTCGAAGAGCCAAACACTTTTTTTAGGGTCCCGCACCTCATCTGTCTATCTTGTCAATAAGGTCGCCACTAGCAAACAACGCTTTACACTACTGATACATCTGTTCTTTCTTCATCTATTATGTTAACAACCACGAATTTGCGCCATTACAGCAGGGCTGTCGCGGCCCGCTAGGGCCGAGGGAGAACAGACGGTGTTAGGCTGTACCACGTGGTGGGCGCCACGTTTAATGTGCGTGCTTGACTGCGCTGTGTGGAACATTATCGTGTTACGTCCTTCTCATCGCAGCGCACGGACATTCAAACAGCAATCAAACGCCATCGCTAGCCATATGGAATCCCATTTGGGCAAATTGAGAGAAAGCGCGGATGCGAGAGTGTAAGAGCTGCCAAAGAGCTAGAGGAGTTCACGATGGCATCTCGTCGGCTACGTACTTTCGGCGATGCAGAACATTTTTCAATTGCACTCGGTTTTTTGAATGTGAAAGTTCCACACAACGCTTCATAATTCTTCTTTCAGACAACATCACTCCATTTTTTTCGAGCAGTTGTAGGCCCTCGCTTTGGAACTTTGAGATGCCCTTTTAGCGCCCTTAGAAAGCAATTAGCACACATCACTCTGAGACTCGACTACAACACCATCTCGACGAAAAACGCACACATTAATTAGCGGACACCGAGCTTCTCTCCGACAATTTAAACTTTCGAGCTGAAGCCGATGTTCGTCATTTGGCCCA